TTGGAACGTTTAAATTAAACCTGGCAGCTGCTAGCTCAAACCCTAACTATGCCGCCTTTGCTTCAATGCAGCTATTGGAACAAATATTCCAACACCTAATCCCTAAATTTATAGGAACTTCTGACATTGCAACCTACCTGCAAATTTTTGAAAGACATGTGAGAAAGTTAATATAAAACAAATAGATTACATCATCCTCTCCTACCCTCTTCTGCCTATAGACATTTCACAAATTATTTTAAGAGAGAACCAAAAGACAAATTAGAAGATTATTCTTACATCAAGAAGATTCTGCTACAAAGATTGAAATTAATGCTGATCATTTCACATTAAACTTACTACACACCACCAAAACACCCTGGTCTTTATGGAAGATTTTACTTACGAAATTAACAATTATCTCGAAGAGTGTCTGATGTTACAGACTTTGAATCACTCAAGACTTTGGTTCTGACGGATCAGTTAAAAGAAGAGTCAGTAGTGACATTAAGGAGCATTTATTGATACTTGGGGGAAAATAAAGAGTTCATCTGAATTAGTAAGAAATTGGATGATTATGAAGCTGTACGTGTTAAAAATACGAAACTATAAAAACTGAACTTTCCTGGCAGGCGGAACTATTCTTACAAATCGACTAATCCATCCAAACACAAAGTGGAAAATCGAACAAGTGACATACAGGGAACTCATAAAACCTTTTCAAATCGTGTTCAGCAACAAACAGAGGAAAAGCGACCTCCTTTAACATGCTATGGGTGCGGAAAAACTGGTTTTATCAAGTCTAAATGTTCAGACTGTAACCCCCCAAAGACTTCAAATTCATCAAATTTTGGCACTATCCAAATCCGATCCTGTTTATCTTCTGCTCGGACTGCTGTATTTCCAATTAATATTGGTGGTGTTTCCGGTACAGCTTTCGCCGACACTGGTGCTAGTCACTCAATTGCAAGTGAATCCCTCTATCATATTCTGCAGAAACAAGATGCAGTATTTGAAAAGACAACACTAGAGGTGTCTTTCGCTGATGGTTTGGTATCTGAAAAAGAGGTACTTCGCACGAACAAATTATTCTTCTCGAAGGCAGAGAGTTCAAAACTCCGCTCCTTGTGTTGCCTGATGCCAAAAATAATCGACTCTGTAGGAACTGACTTTCTTCAAAAGCTAAAATTGTTTTAAAAATTGCTGAAAATAAGTGGAACTTTTCTGATGAACCTCGAAGAAAATATAGCTTCGTGAAACCTCTCAATCCCAAGTACTGGAAGAAACCCCAGTTGTTGTAACAACTGCCGACGACGAGAAAATGAAGGACAGCAATTAACTACAGCCCAACGGCTTGCAACTGATGCATTGCTTACAAATATCACACTGTCTTCAAAGTAGGGGGAGAAGCCACTCCATTCATTGAACACCATATTAACACAAGAAACAGCCCCCCTGTTTCAGTCCCTCCATATCGGATGAGCCCAAGTAAGAAAGAACTGTTGAAAAAGGAACTTGATTCCCTTCTAAAAAAAGGTATCATAAAAGAATTTGAAAGCCCCTATGCCTCTCCTGTGGTTCTGATTCCCAAGGCAAATGGAAAAGTACGGTTATGCATTGATTATTGTAACCTAAATGCTCAAACCGTTCCAGACACTTATCTTTTGCCACGTATAGATGATTTATTTGTTGAGTGAAGCAAAACCGACACCTTATATGTCAACTATTGATTTGAGATCCGGTTATCATCAGGTGAGAGTAGCTGAAGAAGATCAAAATAAGACTGCTTTTGTTTGCCCTTTTGGTACATAAAAATTTACCCGAATGCCCTTCGGATTGAAAACGCTCCTGCCACTTTTCTAGATTGATAGATAGGTTCCGTTCTGACTTAATAATGTGTTTGCTTTTGACGTATTTAGATGATATCATCGTGCTGTCATCTAGCTTCGAAAAGCATTTTCTGATTTAAACAAGTTTTTCCAACGTCTATCGTTATTCAAGCTCAATGCTAATCGTGAGAAGTGCCACTTCTGTTGTGAAAAAGTGAAATATTTAGGGCATTACCTTACTAAGCATGGTATAGCTGTTGATCCACACAAGACCTGCTGCCATTGCAGACATTGCCATCGCCAAAAAACTGTTAAAAAGTGCAATCGTTCGTACAACTTGTTCCTGGTATCGTCGTCGATATATTCCAAATTTTTCTCAAATAGCCAAAACCGTTAACGGATTTAACAAAGAAGAAAGCGCTGTGGAAGTGGGAAGCACAACAAGAAGATGCTTTCCAAGAGCTGAAATCCAAATTAATTAGCCCGCCGATTCTTAAGCAAGCTGATGGAACGAAGCCTTTTATCATTCGCACAGATGCTAGCATGTAGCCATTGGAGCAGTGTTGCTACAAGGGGAGAAAAATGAAGAACACCCTATAGAATATGCCAGCCGCTTGCTGACTGCATCAGAACGAAAAAACTATTCCACCATAGAAAAAGAAGCCTTAGCAGTAGTATGGGCCCTCAACAAATTTAGAGGATAGTTGAAAGCCAGTCTATCACAATCACCTCTGACCACCAAACCATTGAAATGGCTGATCTTTAAAGTCACCAACTGGTAGGCTCGCAAGATGGGCCTTACAAATCCAATCCTACAATCTGACTATCAATTACATTCCTGGACGATTGAACTTTATTGCTGATCTATTGTCTCGTCCTATTTGTGAACATTCAAGTACAGATTCTTGTCAAGTATGGGCTATCTCTGTCGAAATCCCTACTATTAGCCCTGCAGAATTAAGACAATCACAGCTAGAAGATGATGATCTTCGGAAGATCATCGAAACTTTTGAGAGTCCAGAGAAAGAAGCAGACTGTGCAACTTGGACTGGAAGAGGCTACGTTATGAACAGAGGAGTTTTGTACCGATATTCCCCTGATTCAGAAGAGGAAGAAGTTCAACTAGTTACACCTCAAAAAAAGAAAAACGCAGAAATCTTGAAAGAATATCATGATTCGCCAACGGCGGTCACTATGGATCTGAAGGAACATTTTATCGAATAGCAAAAAGATACTACTGGGTTGGAATGAGAAAGGATATAACGAATATGTCAAAAGCTGTCTCGAATGCTGTCGTTTTATAAAGCCACTAATCAAAAGCCATCTGGTTTACTTCAAACTCCAGTCTATGCTCAACGTTTTGGACCTTGTCAATTGATCTTTTCGGTCCTCTTCCTGAAACACCGTCTGGTGAAAAATGGATTTTTATTTTGCAGGACTGTGCTACGAAGTGGACAGAACTATTTGCTTTAAAGGAAAGCCATGGCCAGAGAATGTGCCACTATCTTTTGGAGGAAGTCGCCCTTTGATTTGGGTTACCCAGGAAAATAATAAGTGATAATGGTACCCAGTTTACTAGTGCTGTATGCAACAACTATGCTATATCTTGAACATTGATCAAAGTCTTACTCCTGTCTATCACCCACAATCTAACCAGTTGAAAGGAAGAATAGAGATCTGAAACCACATTTAGCAATACTTGTTGGTAACGACCATCAGTCATGGAAGGATAAACTGCCATTATAAGGTTTGCTTGAATACAGCCAAATGTGATTCAAACTGGACATTCTGCTTTTTCTTCAATTGCACAAGAGTTACGAACCTTAGATGATGTTGTAAAGCATGATATAAAAGCCGTAATTGAGAACGATAATTTTGTTCCCGAAATTACTCCATATTTGAAACGTTTTGCAAGACATGTACAACAGGTACGAGAAAGAGTCGAAATGCATCAAGATAAGCAGAAACGATATGCTGACAAAAAAACGAAGAGAAAACACCGAAATTCGTTCCTGGAGATAAAGTTGGGTCACCTCCACCCAATCAGCAAAGGTCCACTGAAGAAAACTGCTAAATTTCATGCCGAAGAGAGATGGCCTTATGTGATAGTGACTACAGATCTCCAACCACTTATGATATTGCCGATCCTCATGAACCAGACAAAATTCTCGGCAAGTATCATGTTTCAGCCTTGAAACCATATCAAGATCGAAATAAGCAAAACTCAGCTCATGTAATTCCAGTGGTTCCCTTAAAGAAAAGAGGACGCCCAAAACGTGTAATACCATCCGAATCTGCACTTGTTGCACAAGGTGCTGGTGAAGCAAAATCTACTCCTCGTCAAACTGGAGCCCGTCCATCTGATTCTCCGCCCGCTGCACAAAGTAGACAAATGTCAGTTCCTGACTTCTTGCCGAGACGTCTACGAAGTCAGAGGGGGAGGATGTGAACAGACCTATTAAGTGTAATTGAACTATTTTATTCATGCCATGAAACTCATGAACTGTAACCGAACTATTTTATTTAAACGCCATCTCGTGGCGATATGAAAAAAGTCAGTCGACCTCCAGCCGCATGATGATAGTTTACTATGGTTATGTTATTCAAATGTTGATGTTCCATTTGGTATATGTTTCATTTTATGTATATTTCTTTGTTGTAACCGTTCCTGTGTGCTCTGTTAATAAATCCTTTTAAAGCTAGCCGGCATTGGTGTCTATTGAGGAACGGCTACATCACATTTGGGGGAGGATGTAACAGACCTATTTAAGTGTAATTGAACTATTCTATTCACGCCATGAACTCATGAACTGTAACCGAACTATTTTATTTAAACGCCATCTCGTGGCGATATGAAAAAACGTCAGTCGACCTCCAGCCGCCATGATGATAGCTTACTATGTTATGTTATTCTCAATGTTTGATGTTCCATTTCGTTTATGTTTCATTTTTATATATATTTCTTTTGTTTGTAACCGTTCCTGTGTGCTCTGTTAATAAATCCTTTTAAAGCTAGCCGGCATTAGTGTCTATTGAGGAACGGCTACATCACAGAAATGAGAATTAAATTCTAATTAAAAATTACAGCAAAAGGAAAACTCAATACTTTAAAAACAATTAATGTAATTGGCCCCTTCCCCTTCCCCCAAAAAATCCAAATATATAAAAAGAGGGGGGAAAAACAACTTTTACCTTTTTTCAACTTTTACACCATTAGCATCAGCAGTAAGGAATCTTTCATTTATTCTTTGAGTATCTTTGTTTAAAACATGGAGGTAAAAAGCCTAAATATAATTTCATACATTAAGATTCACTTCATTTCTAAATTTAAATAATTACTAATATAAACTGAATAACCAATTATATATAAAATAAAAAAACTGAACCTTAAATTTACATTATAGTGATATCATGCAAATAGATTCCATCAATCCAATATTTTGCTGACTTTAAGTCATCTTATAATGCATTAGTCAGGTTACTAGAAAAATTGTAATTCAATTCTGATGTAAAACATATTAGCATTTAATTGGATATTCTAAATTTTATGTTCTTTGATTTCATTTCATACATTTTCTTATACTTTTACATTGAGAAAATCCTGAGTAGTGAAGAAAAGATTTTTGTATCAAAAAATAAAAATTCAAGTACATAAGATATTAAATGGATGGAGTTAGCATCTTTAAAAAGTATTGCTCATTTTTTTTATCAAAGCACTTTTAAATACAATGAAAATAATATTAATACTTAAAGTGTATAGTATTTGCAGGGATACCATATATTGAAGTAAACAAAATTAACTACAATAATACAAATATCAACTCATTAAACACTACTTAAATCTTTATATAAATGCCTACAGTAGATTAAGACAACTCAGATCAAATGACATTTAACATGATCAATAAAATGTAATGAGGAGAAAAAGGTATAATTCAGATGAAATAAAATTTGATAAGAAAAATTATTCTGAATAATCATTAGATATGGGGAACGAATTTGTCTAATTTAAGTTTCCTTAATTCAATAAATTCCATTAATTGGTGGAAAACATTACCTTTAGTAAATGTTAAAAATTAAAAATCTGGAGATTTGGTGATCTGTCGGATGACCAGCCAAATGTGATGAAAAATCAGGAGAGGTGGTAGCTGTACCAAAGATATAACTGCTCTTTAGCTGTGGCCATCAAGGGTTCCAAGTTAGAAGGGGCTCCTAAGCTTCAAAATATCATAGAATCCAAGACCTCACTATCACATAATAGCATTTTCACATCACTTTGTATTATTAATGAATTTTACTTACATTTTCAAAAGCAAGTACTCATTCAGAAATTTCCTTTCATGTTTAATATTTTTATTTTATGGTTTAGATAATTTACTAAAATTACATGATACTGGGTAAAGGATTATTTACTGAATTTTGACGAGAAAACTGATGATATGAGTGGCAGTGTCAAATCAAGTGAAGATGCTAATAATGATTTTAGCTGGGAACAATATTCTGTAGGTTTGTAAAAATTAATTTCTGATCTCATTTTTAACTCCCATCCCATACCTTTACCTGAACTAAACCATTAATTCTATGTCTTGTAAACCTACTTTTAAAAATTACCATTTCTGACCAATTAAAAGTTTCACAATCCACCTTAATCTTGAAAGTGATTTTTTATTTTTGTGAATGTATACACCAGACAGACATTATATTATGACCACCCACTATCTATAAAAATGGGCTTGGCCAGGAACAAAACCAATGCACGTGCACAGCTGATGTTCGAGTATATACAGCGATTATGCATTGTCATTCTGAACATAGCACGATTAGCAACATAATGGGAAAATCAGCTGATTTAGCAGACTTTAATAAAGGTGAAATTGTTATGGCTTGGCAACTGGGAACATCAATATCAGAAACAAAGCGTTTAGTGGGCTGCTCACATGCAGTTGTTGTGAGCACATATAGAAAGTGGTGTATGGATGGTGAAATGAACAAGTCACTGACCAGCAGTGTGTCATCAACGGCACACTGATTCCAGAGGAAAGGAGAGATTGCTACCCAATTGCTTGCTATGACCGAAGATTAAGAATATAAATGGCATCTTGATGAAGGTAAGTTTATGAAAATAGGGACTAAAATAGGTAAATGTACATATTTAGCTAATAAAGGGTCTTTAAATACAGGTCGTCATGACACATTCAAAAACCCTGGCCACTCAGAGGGTTAAAGTAGTTCATCTGTACTATTATTAGTATTACACTTCCATAACAGTGTTATTTTATTATATGAGAATTATTATATTCTTAAATCCTTAACAATAGACTATAACCCAGGGAGGAAAAAAAGCAACTTAATAGTTAGTTTTGTCCATAATTATGATGTTAAATAAATGTTCAACAAAAGACAAACAGAATTATATTAAATGCATAGTTAATTGAAGGCAGTTATAAATGTATACAGCTGTAACTTGCTAAATATTTGTTGGCAAATTACCATATTAACAGCTAACATTCAAGTATCAAATATTTTTGGAATATAAAATTTAAAGATTATCACTGTATTATGTAAAAGCAGCATTGTAAGTTGATATATATATATATATATATATATATATATATATATATATATACGCAGTGCCTTCCCGCAATGTTCAAATTTATATAAATAAATAGACGTCCAAGAAGACACTTGGTTCTTTTATATGATAGAGGCCATCATGAACAAAAACTGCCAGCTCTGAAATCAATTGCCAAAGTGGACTGTTGATTAAAAACCAATCTACTTAAACTTTATCCAGACAACTTGTTTTCTCAAAAAAGACACTTTATAAACCACAGACAAAACACAAACTGTGTACTGATAATTACCTTAATCGTTCAGATGCAAAATATGTTATCAATTTTCAATTCACCGAGAGGTGAGAAAAATACAGTAGCATTCTTTCAAGAGAAAGACATCTTAGCTCATAACAGACTATGCAAAAAAGGTTAAAAATATATTTATACATCAATGATAAAAAGAGTTTAAAAATATTTTAAAAGTTGGAAGAAGAAGATAATCATTCAAGAGAGAAACTGTATGCAAAAAATAAAAGTAATATTATTACATTGTACTTCTATTATGTTTTTGTTATTTCCATGCATTTTTTGCTTGTCCCCCCTCCCAATGCTCCACAATTTGTGCTTGGCAATTTTCTGTCACAGTAGCCATTATAACATAAAAGTACCACACAATTTAATAACATGTTCAGTTGTTTAAAATTATCTTAGCCTAATCTGCATATAATGGAATGAATAAATGAATTTTTGCAAAATAGATATACTGGTGTAAAAACTAATAAACAAATGTAATAACTGCAAGAAGTAAATTTACCTCTTTGGAATACCCTGGATTAACTCCTAATGTTACAGTAGCATAGAGATGCCGAACACCAAATTTATGAAGAAGATATGCCAAATCAATTGTCCATGTACTAAAATTTAAAGAGGTTCAAAATAAACAATTGACTCTCTGCAGATGGCTGACACATATCTATTTATATTTTTTGATAAAGATATGCATTAACCATCTTCAGAGGGTTAAAAATTACATCTAAGGAAGTTCACTTTAAAAAGTAAAACAAGAGATTAAATGTTAGTGAATTTTATAATAAATACACTAACCTTTTATTGAACCCTTCCTGCTTGGAAACAGTATCCAGATTTTGTTGCAAATACAATCTATCCTCCTCACTGAATTAAAAAGAATAAACTAGATGTTTCAAAAAGTGATTTATAAAAGAGATCTTAATTAATATAAAATATCTAAAATATAGAAAATTCACTTACAATATTTATAAATGATATTAAAAAATCAGTAATAATAATAAAAAAGTAATCACAAAGCACCAACGTACTTCCCTAAAAATAAAATTTTACCAGTTTAAATATCTTTATTCTATAGTAACCTTTTTCAAACTTTCTTGATTCATCACTTCCTCAACTTCTGTAAAATTTAAAAATTAGATGCAATAAATTTTTTTGCACATGTATTGCATTTACAGATGCTTTACATTGCGCGACTGCAATACGTGTTTAAAAATTATTCAAAGCTCAAGAATCTTTAAGTATGAGAGGAAATTAATTAAAACTATCAGAAATAGAAATATTTATTTCAAAGAAAATGATAAAATTATGATTATATTATTTTGTACTTAACTAGAATGTTGATGTGAGCAGTGAACTCATTTCTCATCCATAAACACTTTGAAATATGGCATATGTTTGAAAACTGAAATTCTTATTCCCCCCTCTCAATTTTTGATCTGGACTTGTATTTAATTTGATCACAGTCACAGCTGAAAATCCAACCTCATATATATATAGAATATGTGGGTATATATATACAGTCAAAAGTCGTTAATTAATCGCCGTCGGGCTTCGGCGATTCGGATTATGATTTTCCGATATAGATCATCAGTTTAAATCTGGTAAGATGGCATGCAGAAATTACAAAAAAATATGAAAACGTAATTTATGAAATAAAGAACAATTATGATCTAAAGGGTATCAAAATTTACAAAAAAAAAAAAGCTTATTTATTTGTTACTTTTAAACATTCTTTCAATGTCATTGCTTAGTGCTTCGTTTTTTACGTGATAATACTTCTCTTAATTCTATAAACAGACATAATTTCTTGTTCAGTTACAAGTTCTGCTGTTCAAGTCCTATAATTGCTGTGTGGTACCACTAATTGTCATCGAAATTTTTTCGTTTTCAATAACCTCTGTCACTTTCTTCGCTATCGGAAGCGAATTATAATGACGAGGAATTTGATTTAAATCTATCAAAGACGGAGTACATTGAGATGAAATACTACATTTAGACGGAATTATAAGCCAAATAAATAAAAAACATCTGCCCTAGATAAGGATAGTGCTGACAGATCAACTTCCAATTCATTGCGCGCCCGCCACGGCGTTAAAGATAAACAAAGTTTAGAGAAACAAAGATATGCCTTTATCCATTTTTTGCAGCAATCCACTTTTGTTTAATAACTTCGAATATATTTTCGCTTTGTTGATCCTTTACATATTAGTAAATATATATCAGAATTCTATTTACATAATCGGAAGTTCAGCTTACTTTTATAAAATTCTCTAACAGTCTGCAAAAAATAATAAGCCGGATCCAATCGAAGATTAAGGAACAATGCAATCTGCAACATTAACTGAAATAGATAATTAGGTAATTTTAGCTTAGCTTATACCGTCCGTTATACATTAAACGCGCACTCGTAAACGTATTTTGCGCACGCTCACAAGCGTATTCGCAGCCAAAAAAGGTCTTATGCGCATGCGTCGTTGAGGTCCGGATTATAGATCATTCCAGATTATGGGTGTCCGAATTAACGACTTTTGACTGTATATACATATATGAGATGCATTTAATAGAATCAAAACTTTCACAGCCACTATGAAGCACGCATATCCAAAAATTATATATCTGGATATTCTTTGGAATTACATACACCATACTCTGGCTATTTCATGCATCAAATTAAATTTTGCTATCAAAATTACTATTTTTAGTTCTTCCTTCCCATAAGTCCAAAAATGTAAAAGAAAAGCCATCACAAACTTGAATAATCAAAATGGCATTTCAGTTCAAAAACAATTTTGTTCTGTAAATGTTTCTGTGCAAGTTGCTGGAGACTTGGCATTTAAAGAATTTTTGATCCCACCATGTTTTTTAAGCTGCTTCTGAGAAATGTCAGTCAAAGTGAAAAGCAGGCTTCTGTAATGTGTGATGGAGTACATGAAATAAACTTATGCTCCTCTGGTTAAAAAGGTTGAAAATTATGTAATGAATGGGTAATGTGCATGAAATTCTGGATTTTATTTAATGCATGAATATCCCCTTCACAAAATGAAGTATGCAGTAAAAGAAAGCCATCATTAAAATGTCCTAGGTAGAATTTGGTCCCTTCCACTTCCAAATGCTAATTTTTTTTCCACCTCCATGGTTGTAAAATCTGTTTCTTTATTTTATAAAGTAGGAGGTCTTCAACCTTTCCCGTCCGAGGGCCACATCATTAAATTCACAAAGATCTGAGGGCCAAATGTCTATAAAAAAAATAGTTTTGTCAGAAAATTTATATAAAAAAAGGGAGGCTTGTTTTGCAAGACTACAATTGATTCTAAGCAAAGAGATAGTGTTACAGATTTGTATATATATATATATATGCATTGGTCCAAAAGTCAAATGGAAATCGAATTATAATGTTCGCCTGTCTTTAGCTATGGAAAAAAAAAAAAAAAACTATAAATGATGTATGACGATGTGTAATGCTTTAATATATATAATAATAATAATAATAATAACATCTAAACATCAAAAAACTTGCCTATGGCGATAAATGGATTTACTTAGTGTATGTGAATTTAACTTTTTTCTTGATTCAGCTTCATATCCGTTAATCTGGTGTGCTTCGTAAGTTTCTTCAGGCCTGTTGTCGCGTGTTCTTTTTTTGCTTTAGGCTTTTCTTTCCTAAACGCTGTCACATATGTAGTTCTCCAAGATAGAAGACTGAAGATGCTGTTTACAATCCGTGATATTGTCTTGTCGTCTTGAAAAAATCAATATGTAGGCTTTTAGAAATTGGCATTTCTGAAAGTCGTACTGTAAATCTATAAATTCTAATTGAAGTTCAGGTGGATCGCAATGTAAATCTATAAATTCTAATGGAAGTTCAGGTGGAACACTTCCAACGTCTACTGAAAATGGCGAGGAGAACATTCTCATAAAAATTTCATTTTCACGAAAATTGGAAAATCTACTTTTGAATTCCTCTTTCGAATTTGAAATGTATTGTACATAATTATTTGAATTTCATGTTTTCCAGTTCTTCACACCATCAATTTTGAAAAAGTGAGTGGAATTCTTATTTAGCAACTGACTTTACCACTGGATAAATTTTGTCTCAAAAGCTTTCACAAAGCAATAAAGATTATGAACAAGTAGATCTTTTCCCAGGAAGCGGTAGTTCAAATCATTGAGATGACCTGCAATATCGACAAGAAATCCAACAACTTCTCATCACTGAACTCATGAATAGATTTACCTTTAGATTCCATTAATTGTTGAACTTGCACTCTTCAAAGAAAACAGGCGCTGAAAGAATCTTTCCTCGGCTCAATCAACGTACTGCCACATAATACACAACACCACCATATTCAGCTTCAAACTCACTCAAGAACTGTTGAAACTGCCTGTGATTAGACTGAATGAAATAAACCAATTTTACAACAACATTCATCATATGTTCAAAGTTTGAGAAGAACATCTTGCACAAATTGGTGGATGATGCAGTGGAAAGTTATCATAGTATTACTTCCACTTGCCTTCACATCAGATTTCAGTAATGTTGTTACTCCTATTTTCTCTCCAGTCATAGATTTAGCACCATCCGTGGTTATAGCAAACATATTACTAACATTAACTAATAATTAAGTCTAACTCACATTTATCCAAAAGTTTGTGTTAGACTCGAATACAAACCTGTTCCTCATGTTATACCTTTTAGTGCAACGACACTGGCTAATTTATAATTGTGAAGTCTCTATCAACGCCACGAATAAAAATAGCTACTTGTACAGTAGCTGTTTCACCTGTTGATTCATCCATCGCTAAGAATAAAATTTTTTGAATTTGGATTATAATGTACTGAATATATCTGTTGCGAGATCCTCTATGCTTCTCGCTTACTGTCACACCAGACAAGCTAATATTCGATATGACTTGAGCCTGTGATGGACAACGCACATCAACTGCACTCTGAAGACATTCTTTTACAAATTGTCTATTACCAAAGGGTTTTCCACACTTAGCAATTTTTTCTGCTATCATGTAACTAACACGAACACTATTTTCATATTCTTTATTTGCTGTGGTGAAGAAAGACTGCTGAAAATTTAGTTTTGATTTTAATACACTCACCTTATCACTTCAAAAATGACCCAAATACAGAATATTTTTCACTCTCCTTAGTATCATAATGTCTCTTAATGTTATATTACTTCATCACAGCTACACAGTCATTGCAAATAAGGCAAACTGCCGTACCCTTATGTACAACAAAAAATAAAGATCTGACCAATTTTCTTGAAATAATCGCACTTTTCCTTCAACTTTTCTTTTATTCAAAGACCATAAACACTTCTGAAGTTTAGAATGTGGAATGACCGCGAGTAACCTAGCTTAAAATCAACAGTAGAAAATCTGCTTATCACTAAATCAAATAGGATGTTTAACCCATTAGCCGCTGGTGTTGTGTTGACGCAATGGTCAAAATAAATGGGTATATAAATATAACTACCTAAGATATTTTATACCAGCAGATGATTTGGTAAAGGGAATATCATAAAGATTATTTCTGTAAAAACATATTTGCCTTCACATCATTTTTTTAGAATATAATCTCATACTTTAACAATTTAGCACATTTGAACGGGTATTTTTGCTGAAGTTAACGAAAAATCGCGCGTTATGAGTGATCTATTTTATTCATTCCCGTTCAAAACATACTCAGTCAATCGTTATATTTGTGTGGAGGAGGGAAACAGTGTTGCTCGAACATGTCAGCAGGAAACAGTAGTCATTCCTTTTCACTCTTCTCGGGTTTGTTATTTCAAATCCTAGCTGAGGTCTTCCTAGAAGCCCTTCCAATTTTGATGAAGAATAGATATAAAGTAATAATACCGAATGCCCGGAATGTTGTTTCTCATTGTAGAGTAGTAAACGCGCCGGAATAAGCATGTTTAATATGAATGATATTTACAAATGCATTGCTGGGGAGTTGAAAGCACGAGGAATTTAGAAGCTGAAACTATTTCGCGTCGAAAAGTAGTTTAGTTATACTAAAACGTTAAAAAGCGAAGCTGCATCTGAGGGAGAAAAAAGAACTTTAGTATGTCTCAGGAAGACATGCAAAAGAGATCGCTTATAAAGCAATACAGTAAAACTGTGCGCATATTTCGATTTCTTTGGTTTGGACATTTACATTCTCGGTGAATCAAATATATTGCTCGGGAAAAAAAAAACAAGCATAATTTATGCATCTGAAACCTAATGAGAAGAGTTTATTGGATAGTATTGCTTACAGGATAATATCTTCCTCAGAAAAGGTATTGGTCTTTTGAAAGGGCTTTGTTCTGTTCCGAGATTCGATATACATTTGCGTACGGAATAGAGCGATTTGCAATGCAATAATGATAATTATATGAAGTGAACCGTATTAACTTGGAAATATCACACTTTTTACTATGAATATAAAGTCTTTTAGATTCAGACACGAGATCTTACTCCTTTTGCAAACTCCTATTGAGAGCAGGAATTACCGAATAGATCAGCAAAAGACCTAGTAATTCGCTCAAAACATTGCTGCAAGGTAGACTTTTATGTCACTCCGTTATAACAAAAGACTTGTTGTAGAGTATAAGCCCGCTGTTTACAGAGCAAAGTATGTAATGTAGCTTTACATATGATTTAATCAAGCTTTTCTGCGTGAATCTTTCGTTGAAATATTGTATTGTAAAGAAATACATGTATATTTAATATTAATTAACACGTAAAGTGATGTAGCTCTCTAAAACGTATACACAAAAGTAATCCTGTCTTCCTCAAAAGAAATCACCGAGTACATCCTATCACTAAACTCCAGAGTCTTTTCCGCTGATTACGCGAAATCACCTCGCTTTTTCCACAGTAAGCATTTTTTTATTTAATTAAATTTATGTTATAAAGTTATTAATGTTATTTCATGAGAAAAGAAACATTCCTTGTAGTTTTGGCGGTTAATGGGTTAAGATCACCATTCCCTTTGACAACTGATTGCAACATTAGGAGAAATAGAATTCTATTAATTTATTCCTGCCCCCCCCTCTAGAATAGGGGCATGCTCAAGTTCACCTTTGGTGAAGTATTGAACAAAGCTGGACATCTGTTGCAAACCTGTTAGAAATAAGAATCTAACCTTTTTAATGAACAGAGATTTTGTGCATGGTCAAACTTTTTATTTTTAAAATTACATAAAAGAAAGTGAAATTTTTGAAAAATTAGTCTTTTCAGGAAATTTTATCTCAAATGATATCAGGCATGTCAATAAAATGTTCTAAATATCCTGAATAAGAGGAAAAAAAAGTTTTTTTTTTTACAACAAAAATCTGACAAGGCTAGTTTTATTGAAATCAAAATTTTGCAAAAATTTTTCAATTTTTCTTCAAATTCAAATGTGGGGCCACTTAAATGCCTTCAGCGAGCCACGGGTTGAAGACCCCTATTGTAAAGTATGTTTAATAAGCTAAGTTTTTTCAAAATATCACAAAGCTATCAGTAAGGTTTTTAAACAATGCAGTAACCTTTACACACACACAACATGCAGTTTAAAATCACTGCTAAAAACAAAATATCATTTTATGTTTGAAATTATCTAGAAGATTATTATAATATAAGTTAATAGCAATACAAAATTTAGAAATAAATTCCTGCATTTTAATTATAGAGAATAACCAATGCTTTTTTTTTTCTGTGGGATACATACATCGAAACATTTTATGAATCTATCAAAGTAATTTTATGTGGCTCTTTAATATATTTTAATTATGTATTTGTAGCAAATATTATAGGGACATAAAGATTTGGTCTCAGAAACTGCTATTGAATGAAAAAAAAAAAGATGAAATGAATGTTTGTCTGGCATTGTATGCTTCTAGATCAAGCCATATGAGCAGGTAAGCCCTTTGAGCACCATGACCAGCTTTATCCTGTCATATTTTTGTTACTTGGTATATATTAGCTCATAATTTAGGACAATTTTACAAATTTTGCATTTAGACAGGTAATTTTAGTAAAATTAAAATTGTATTTTTCTATGTAATGTAGCATGAGAAAAAGTTATACTGGAAAAGTCAGAATACAGGGGCACGTGCATTTAACATTGAATAATCAGGCAGCTCGGTAATTTGTATTGAAATTGGTGGTGGTGTATCGAGAATACTGCAAAGCACACTAGGGCTCTGCCTAGGGAGATGCTGTAGAGGATTTCTAGGGGAACTGTCTATACAGGTACACATGGGGACCACAAACGCCCATGAAGCCGTCGTTCCGAGAGTCAACCTCATACGACTACATGTTCAGCGATTTATCGTGGCTGAAGTAATAATGTAATTGACACCTTTAGCTGAACCAAGCCCATTTAGATTGATAAGGCCCTAAGCTATTTGAGATATGGGGCCCTTCATAGTCTGTTATAATCTTACTATTTATACTATATTTAAATTTTTGGGGGCTCCAAGAAAGTGGGGGTCTAAGCTATAGCTTGTGTGGCTTATACATAAATCTGGCCCTGGCTGTAACCGTAATTCCATCCTCTCATTGCTTTCCAGTAATTTCAAGAAGCACAAAATACTAGAAATATCTTGTCGGCTGAAAATTATTTAAGGCTTTTAAGGCTGTACAGAGAGCATCTGCTCTCAGATGTTTAGTTGGTTGCTGTTGTTACGGTTGCAAGTTCAGTGCGAAATTGCATTAGCTTTCTCTTTAGATACGCTTTACACTGCGTTGTTCTTTACGTTCTTAGCAGTATAAAGTGAAACTACTGATTATACTGTGTGATAATGCGAACACGAATATTTCTGTGGAAAATTCCAGAGTTCTGAAATATTTCTT